CCACCCAGAGGAAATACGTGTGGTTCGATGAGCTTCGTTCCACACGTGCGCTATAGTGCCGCTGGCGGTGGGTTCCATGTTAATGAATCAACTATGTGTATCAGATCAGGTGTCTTTACACAGAAATATATAAAACGAGGTCATGGACTGATCCATCCGTGAATATGCTGCGACCAGAGGCCCACAGGAACCTAACCCTGCATGTCCCCTACAGGTGGGGTTCAGTACTCGCTTGCTCAAGGTGGCTTTTAGGCTACAACTACCGCAAATAATGAGAATCAACTGTACATTCACCCAGGAAGCACCGCCCTCAGGAACCTCCTGGAGAAAAGACTGAACTGATTAACTCCATCCCAATCAGGGGTGACATGAGATAGAGGCCACTTACACCTGGCAATGGGCATTCGCCCTGGAAGAGGGATGGAGACACTCGGCGCTCTGAAGCAGCATGGACATTAGTGAGATGGATGGTGACCACGTGGAAACAGTTCTGCACCAAGAAGAATCAGGAAGCAGGGGAGGAGAGGAGGGTGCATGTGTGTGCACGTGCGTGTGCAACCAGCTACTTGTTCGACACACTGTGACCCACGCTCAGAGCTACGCTACGATGCCCAGCCCCCTCTACAGTCAGGAGCAGCCTCCAGAGGAAGCGAGGGGAGGTGGGGGGAGTGACGTGGTCCACGAGTTCTCTCTCTTCCCTCCCTCATCCTCTGGGCACATACAGGGGACCCTGCGGGGGATTCCAGAGCTCTAGGGAACCGCCTGGCTACTAGATGGGAGGAGCCTGCACCCCCGGAGGGACTGCGTGGAGCAGAACCTCTGCCTCTTTGTCCCTGCCAATCTCCAGTGGACCGGGAAGAAAAAAAAAAGAAAACATCTTTGTGCCAAGCTCCTGAGGTTTGGAGGTCTGTTTATTACAGACATTAGCTTAATTTACCCCAAATGATATAAGGAGAAAGAACTCAGTTCCTCAGAGCATGAAAAAAGGAGGAAAAAGACTGGAATTAAAAATGAAAACAAGGGGCCGGCCCGGTGGCGCAGTGGTTAGGTTCACGTGCTCCACTTTGGCCACCCAGGGTTCTCAGGTTAGGATCCTGGGTGTGGACCTTGCACTGCTCGTCAAGCCACGCTGTGGCGGCATCCCACATAAAATAGAGGAAGATGGGCACGCACGTGAGCTCAGGGCCAATCATCCTCACAAAAAAAAAAAAAGAAAACAAATAAAGATTCCAGCCTTCCAGAGTTTCATAACTGTTTCTTTTAACTTCACGGATTTATCTGGAAACAGTGTCTCTTGTGACAAAAAACACTACTAAAGTTCATATTTCCTTCATGGTCTTTTTAGCCTTTTATAGTCAAATTAAATCACCTTCATGATGGTGAGTTATTAGCAGTGTGTGTACCGACCTGTGTTTCTATCCGTATGCACATCCACCCATTACCTGGAACCCTTTGGAGAGGCACGTCTAGAATGTCCACCAAACGCTACTGACAACCACTTCTGGGGCTGACGTCTGTGCTTTATAAGAATGACGTAACTTTTATAAGAGACGTTAAATGGCATAGAAGAAAGAGCGCCTCGGCACCATGTCCGCACTCCCGAAAAGACTCATCTGTGTTGCCGGCGTGGCCCTGCGGCCGGCGGTGTTGCCGGATTAGTTCTGGGGCATCGGGTCACCCCGAGCTTTCCCTAGAAGGTGGAGCATCTGGCTGACCTCGCTCTGGGATGACAGGTGCCAGCAGTACAGAACTCTCAGCCCGGGCAGCACCCGTCCCCAGGGAGAGCGGGGGCCTAGGGCCGGGCCACGAGCAGAGGTCCCCTGCTGGAGCTGCCTACATGGGGGGAGAGGAGAGACCCAGCCCTCGGAGGCACTGAACCCACTCATCAGACCCCACAGCGCTGGAAGATGGGGCCCTGGATGTGCACAGAGCAGGGTGACGCAAGCCTAGTAAGAGCGCCAGCACCGAATGGCCAGCAGGTGGCGCAGCGGGACGGGCCGCCCCTTCCTCTGATCCCAGCGCACGTCCCTTCCCCATCACGGCCTCTACCGCCTCCCGTCACTCTTCATGTACAAAGGGTGGACTTGTAGTTCCGGGCCTGCTCTCTAGAGAGCCTCCGAGGCTGTCTACACCACCTCGTCTATACCACCCTGTCTTCACCACCTTCACAGATCCAGCCCTACTTCTCCCACCTCCTTTAACACAACTCTCAAATGAGGAGGGTCCTTAGCACCCCAAGACCGACAAGACGTGAGAAAGAGAGACGACGGGACAGCACAGAAGGAGACGATCCAGTCTCACCCAGGTGCCCGAGTCCTAGTCCTGGGACGGCCCCATGTTCTCTCTGCAGCAGAGGGGCCTTTGCACCAACGGCCCCCTCATTGCTCAGGCTGCCTGGCCATTCCCAGAGGACGGCATGTGAAATGCTCCCAACTCGACCCAACCAGGGTCCCCACCATGCCCACAACGTCTGCTCCGTGCCCGAGCTCCGTCCTCACCTCCCTGTGCTGGGCACGCAGCAGGACACTGGGGCTCAAAACCACACCTGAGACAAAGCGTGCCACAAGTCAGAGAGGGACATGGCACCGTGACTTAGCACCCAGCACGCCCCGGCGGGTTCAGTCGAAGGTGGAGGCCCATTCCTTCCTCTTCTATAAATGGGGAGCCCCCAAGGAGAGCTGTGGCCGCCCCACGCCACCCCATCCGGCACATGCACCTATGGCAGAAAGGGCTGCTCTCTGAGACTCCAGGCCACCTGATCGGGAGAGACAAGAGAATTCCCACCACCGGAGGCGCACACTTGGCCTCTGGAGGGCCTCTCTGAGCCTCCCCTGTGTGCCCCAGACTTTGTCATCTGCTCAGTGAGACTCCACAAAGAGCTCAAACCCAGCCCAGCCCAGCCGGTCAGGTCCCCCCATCACACCACACCCCACCCCTGGTCCAACCCACCCCTCTGCCCGCTGTGTCCACTGCCCAGCCCAAGCTCCAGTGCACCCCTTTCCCCTGCCATGTCCTCCCCAGAGTGAAGCCCTCTCGGTCCTTCAAGCCCCAGCTGAAACGGAAGCACTGCAGGGGAGACCCCCGGCTCCTGCTCCCCCTTCACCCACAGGGACCTGCTCACGCCCGTTTGCCCCAGAACAACCGTCTTCCTCACGTGCGCCATGCTCGGAGGATGTTCACCTCCACTTCCCCTGCACCGGGTTTAGCACCTGGCACAAGAGAGACCCTAAATACCTTCCTGTTCAGTTTAACACAATTTCATTGGGAAGAAGCCAATACCATGTAGGAAACACCAGAAGATGGAATGAACCGTTTTCTTGTACAATATAGGCCTTAAACAAGCCTGGGCTGAGGCCCTCTGACCATTTCCTTACGCAGTTAGAGCAGAAGTCAAACTTCCCACTATGGCCTGCAGAGGCCGCTGTCTCTCTAGCTCAGATCTCATCTAACCCACAAGTTCCTAGGCATCCCCACAAGCTCCCATTCCCACGCTCCAGCTGAATTATGGGGGCCTTGGAGGCACTGTGCCTTAAAGAGCTGGCCAGTAATCTGACAGCCCTGCAAAGATCACCACCCCATCGCCTCTGTCATCCCATCACCCACCACACCATCACCCATCACCCACACTCAACACCCATCACTCCATAAGCCATCACTCCATCATCCACAAACCCATCCATCACCCATCACCAACACTCAACACCCATCACTCCATCACCCATGACCCATCATCCATCACCCATCACCCACACCCATCACCCCTCCACACCATCACCCATCACCCACACTCAACGCCCATCACTCCATCACCCATGACCCATCATCCATCACCCATCATCCACACCCACACTCGTCACCCATCACTCCATTGCCCATCACCCACACCCATCACCCCATGCTGGATTACTTTCTTCACACCCTTCCCATCGTACAAAACCTTCCTAGCTGCCGTGTGTGGGATTCCACCCCAGTGCCTGGAACATAACCTGGCTCATCACAGACACTCAAACACATGCAAGTCACTGAGCAAGGGCATGTTAAAAGGACCATGCACAACAGTATGTCGATGTCCCTGAGAATCGCCCAACCTCCCCCAGACCAGCAACGTCACCAACCAGGAGGACTTGAGGAGCACTCGTGGGAATGCAGCCCTTTCACGGGAACCGGGAGAGGCAAGATTTGCAAGTGCTTATCTCTGCTCTGAGCAGTTTCCGATTTCATCAGAAAGCCCCGATAGACTTATAAAAGAAAAAAAAGTCAGGGATCAAGGAAGCAAAGCTCACATGAAACGCTTTCTCAGGGAGTCGAGTCCGAAAGTGTCCGGGAGGGAGGCGCAAGGTGGTGCGACCTGGGGATGCTCGCTCAGGCATCTTCGGTGATCGATTTGGAGCACCCACGGGGCCAGTGCCACACAGGCAGCTGGGCGCCCTGCTGCACACCCACGAGTCAACCCTCCAGGGAGACCCGCCAGCAAGGACCCACAGGCACTAGGCAAGCGCGAGGTGGGGGTGGATGCCAGAGGCCATGAGAAAGAAGAAGCCCCGAGGGCTGGGGGGGACACAGGAACCAGAATGTGGTCCAGACCCTGAGGGAGAACCAGGAGTCAGCCAGCGGGCACTGCGGGGAAGGGCGCCCAGGCAGAGCTGCACACCCAGCAAGTGGGAATGAGCAAGGGACGTCGGGGGCTGTGTGTGACTGAGCACAGGGCAGCTTGGGTGCTGGAAGCCCTGTTTGCTAATGTGCCTACTGTGTGCGTTTCCTCTGCAGGGCTAGTCTCTGTGCCCTGCAGGTGTGGCCTCCATCCCGGCACGTAGTAGGTGCCCCACGAATGACGGGGACCGAGGCAGGCACGGGGACGGTTGGGACCAGCAGGAGTGGGGTGGCAGTCAACAGCACAACATGTGGGGGAGCCACCAGGACCGGCCATGCAGAGGGTGACCATAGGCACCCTTGAGTTCAAATCACGCTTGATGTGGACCAGGAATGAGCTGGGGGCTCACCGTCTGCTGCAGGTCCTGGATGAGGACGCGGATCACCAACGTGTTACCCTGGCCCTCCTCCGTCCTGGCGCTGCCCGGCTTCTCCGCGGTGGCCCGGATGGTGTCGTAGATGGTCTCTTCTTTGGAGCTGTCGGACTCCGACCCCACGGAGTAGTCGGAGAAGCTCTGGGCCATCTCGTCCTCGCTGGATGTCGGGCTGCGCGGCATGGCTGCCCTATGTCTGTAGGGAGGAGGAAAAAGACGAGGAAATGTGAAAATCGAAGAAAGAAAAGCCAGGGGCGCAGTGGACACTGGTGCTTGCGTGAGTGCAGGCTCAGGTCCAGTCGCGTGTGATGCGTGGATCTGAAGGCAGCGAGAGCGCGCGCCCCCACCCCCACCTCCCTGGACCCAAGCGGGGCGCAGGCAGGACCGGCAGGGGGCGGAGGGAGCTCTGCCGGGTGCCGGGAAACCCGGCATTTACAAGGAGCCTTAAGTCGCTGCGGCCATGACCACAGTTTATAGGGACTAACCAAGGGGCCGCTGGAGCCACTCGAAACTTTGCAAAGGAAGAAAAAAGGCTCCCTCTGGTTTCTCTTTGAGGATAGAGCAGCAGCAGAGGACGTGCAGGCTCAGGTCAGAGGGGCACCGAGTTCACGCTATAATAACCCCCTCGGCTTCAAACACGGAGCAAGAAGAGGAGACGTGTAAAAATAGAACCGGAAGGCAGGCCGGGCTCAGAGATGAGATAATGTCCAGGCCCAGGAGTGAGCGGAGCCCACAGGCGTGAGCTGGCTGACGCCGGAGCCGGGGTCCCCGAGAGTCCGTGGCAGCTGGGGGTACAGCTCCCTCACGACGGAAGGCAATAAATGCTCCTCAGCAAAGACCCAGCACCTGTCACCCCATGCCGACTGCCACCTTGGGCTGGGGCTGTGAGCAAGCACGTGGAAGGCCGCCCCAGCTCTGTGGGCCGCGGTCCAGAAAGGTGAGGAGAAAAGCTGGTGTGAACCGGGGATGCCGGGGAGCCAATGGAGGATGTCCCAAACCAGCAATTCCACTTCCATGTGAACCCTGTGAGGGAGGTCAAGGCCACGCACACAAGCAGAGAGGCACAAGGTCGTTCCCGCAAAAACGAGGCTGTCCTGGGCCACCTCATCGTTCAGGGACTGCCTGCTTAAGGAGTGGTCTCTTCTTCCCACGACTGCACAGCTGTGAGAATGAACGACCCCAGCAGCACACAGAGGATCCCCAAACACAGCAGGGGGGTGAAAGGAGGCATCTGTGGGACGACCCAAACAGCACGGATGCTTCCTACACAAAGGCTGGGAAGATGCGGCAGCGCGGTCCTGTGGATGGCACGTGGGCATGCACGGAGGAACGGCGGAGAAGCACACGACAGGAAAGAGAAACTCTAAACTCGAGGGGCGGCCGTCGCTCGGGAGGGAGAAAGGGGTTGACAGGGCTTGCCACGCCACTTGTAAGGTGTGATTTCCTTAAAATGGTTCCAGCAAATATGACAGAATGTCGACCTTTGATGAAGCTGGGGACGCAGATGTTTGCTATATTGTTCTCCACGCTTTTCCTTCTCTGTGTTGGAAATTTCACAGGAGAAGAGAGGAACGAGGGAAGGAAGGAGGGAGGAAGGAAGAGAGAAAGGAAGGAGGAGGAGGGAGGGAGGGAAGGAAAGAGCTCGCCTGCCCTTCTCTCCCAGGAGCTCAGCCCGGTAGGTGCTTGGATGCGTGTCCCCCGTCCTCGTGTTTCATGATGGACAGTGGCGGGGGTGGGGGGGGGAGGCTCAGAGAAGCCCCAGGTAGGACACAGCTCATCCAGTGCCAACTCTGCATTTGATTAGGGATAGCTGCCACCCACCGTTATTTCCAGAGTCCATTTAACGACAGCAAACATCCCCAGGAAGCGTTTCCCTGCTCAGCCTGCGGAGTCGGTCCTGGACGCAGCCACCCGGTGCGTTTCCATCCTCCACCCAGCCTTGCACAAGGATTCACCAGACACACAGGCACACGCAAAGCCCGGCCGAGCAAGGGAGCGGCTCCAGAAATGCACACCCTCCAGAGGGAAGGGCAAGACCAGGACCGAGGTCAGGGGCTCCCTTCCTGCCAACAGGATCTGGACCGTCCTCAGAGAAAAGGCCAGGGTCGTGTGGCCCCCACACGCCATTTGTTTGACCTACACAGGCTTTCATATGTTTGCTAACCTGGAGATTTCACACGAAAACCCAGATTTCTGGCTTGTTTTGACCATCGGGAGGATCAGGCAATGCTGGGGACTGCCACACGGCACCTAGGGGCAGGAGCGAGCAGTGGCACCCTCCCTGGCCTGGCATGCCCTCACCAGGTTAGGGTTCTCAGACTCAACATCCTCCGATCTTCCTTCCGCCTGCCGGGCTCTCTCACTGGCGATATCTTTCCGGCCCCGGGTTGTGAGTTTGAGAGCCTGACCACTGCTCCATCCACTCACTCACACTGGCCGCCTCCTCTGTCTTCTGCCTCCCCCTCCTCCAGACCACCCCAGGGTGGGCATCACCCGGCCGATTAAAGGCCTCGAAGGGCACCTCATCCAAATCACCAAGAAGATTTCATTTTTTTAATGAAAAATCTCAAAGTTCACCCCATTGTAATCCTCAACTAAAATTCAGGGCAAACGGGTATTCTTGCATTCACCGACCAAACGCCTCTGTAATTTCAGCTTGACGTTTTCCCACCACAGAAGTGCAAAATCTGGTGGGGGAAGAGAGAGCTGCGGCCGAGGACGGGAGCTGGGCCTTCCCGATTCCCCCTGAGGAAGGAGCCAGCCAGCCTCACTGCAGCTTCGAGCAACGCGTTCGTTCATGCATTCGCTCATTCCCCATCTATGCGTGAAGAAATGAGCGCCTGGCATAATTACACAGTGTACAGTATTTACACGCTACGTACTATACGGTAGTTACAATTATAATACAGGATTATATATTATTATAATTATTATAATATATTATATACAATTATATATAAGTAATTATCATAACATATTATTTTATAATATACAATATAAATCTAGATTATATGATAAATATAACGACATAATACGCGGAAATAACTATTTCTAACTATGTCCCAGGTTGCAATGAAGCAGGCCCATGAGAGCAGTCACGGCAGAAGGAAGTTACTTGGGGATCTTTAAAAAAAACACAGTGCCAGAAATTCCAATTTAATTGGTGCCGGGCAAGGCCCCAGTGTCGACAGAGTCTTAAAAGCCCCCCAGGCAACTCTAACAAGAATCGGAGCTCCAGGTTCACCTCGAGTCGAGTCTGTGGCTATAACTTTGCAGAACTCAGGTGCAACAAGCCTTCTCCCAGGGCTGAGGACCGAGTCCTGGTGCTGCCCGGCCAGTGGGAGCGGTGTGGCTTCCTCACCTGAGCACCAGGATGGACACAGGTGTTGGGTCTTGTCACCGTGGGGTCCGGTGGCTTCTTCCTGCCCTGAGGGGCGTAAGGCGGCTCAGAGTAGCTTCTGCTCCTTCCCCTCCTTCCTCCCCCATCTGCGCTGGTTCCAAACCCCACAGGGGCCGAGAGACAGCAGAGGGAGAGGACGGAACGTGCATGCCCTTCTCCGGCGGGCATGAACATCTACCGTGGAGTCACCGCCGTCGGGTTTGTGGGAAGCCGGGCACAGGTGGAGGCAGGAGTGTCTGATAACGAAGCGGTTCCAGGCACACCTGCCACTCCGCCAGCATTCCCACGCGGGATGGACCTTGGCCCCAGAAAGCACGGGGGCTTCAGGGCAGCGAGGGCCTCAGTGTTGGCATCTGAAAAATGGGCGTGTGGAGCAGAGCTTGACGCCGAGCAGACACACGGTGCACGCCCGTCCCTGCCACGTCCTGGCCTTCCACCTCTAAGTCGGTCAAGGGCCCGCTTGAGAGAGCAGACGAGATGGTGCCAAGCGCCCAGCTTACTCCCTCAGGGGCACACATAGGAAGGCTCCCTCAAATGCATTCTACCCCCAGCTTCCCAAAAGAGCACCACGGCTTAAAATTTAAAAAAACAATCGCGCCCCACCGTCTACTTCCAGCCCAGTTTACTTTCTCGAAAGCCCTCCTTAGCCCCGGATGTGCGTCCTTTGTCACGTGTGCATCTCGTCTGTGCAGTATGCCGTCTCCATGCGCACGGGGACTCTCCTGATTCTCACTGGACACAGCGGACACTCAGCAAACACGTCCCCGGGGACACCAGGGCTCCTGAACACAGATGCCCGCAGGAGCCAGTCGAACACAAGGAAGGGAGCAGAGTGGGGGCCAAGGCAAAAGGGGCCGGACACGTGCCCCAAGTCAGCCAGGCGGCCGCGTTTCAACTCCAGCTCCTGCTGGTAGGCAGCCGGCCGCTCGGCCCCGGGGACCAGCTCTGCAGGCGGTCTCCAGGCAGGTCAGAGCTCACTCGAGAGCTGGCAAGGGATCAGCATTGGGAATCCATCGTTTTCAATGGTCACTTTGCAGGCCACACACAGCAAGTCTGCAGTTGGACATACCATCCTGAACACACAGATCGGAACCGTGAAGTGGGCACAACAGCCAGGGTCTGCCTTCCAAAAAACAAGGGGAGGGGGGTGTTGAGGAGTTTTGTGCCAGGCTAAAGTCAAACCGAACTCCAGAAACAAAACTGATCGCCCAAAGAGGACATCCGGTGGGGAAGGTGCCGTGCCCTGCACTCCTCCTGCTCCCCAGACCCCCTCGTCTGGCCCCCGCCATGAGGACACCCACCCTTGCCACCCGCAGTGGCTTGCGGGAGACGGTCACAAACGGACGCATCTGCTACCAAAGCTGCAGTGCAGAAGCCCCCGCTGGACGGGTCTGAGGAGGGGCCGGGACCACATCCAGAAGGGGATAAGGTGGCCGCCTGCCTTCCAGTTCTTTCCATGACCACCCGGGGCCGGAGCGGGAGGCTCTCGACCTTAATAACACACTTAAATCACGTGATCAGCGGATCCGTGGGAAAAGCAAACACCTGCAGAAATGTGTAATTATTAACTCCGGGCAGGATGGCCAGTTAACAGAGGGCACCCAGTGACGGCTGCTACATTTCAGATCAACCACGAGTATGGTTGACTCTAAGTATTTCCCAAACGCTGCACGGGACATCCTCATGCGACACAGTTATTCGTTGTTCGTCCGAAATTCACACAGGAGTGGGCATCCCGCATTTCACCCGGCCGGTGGAGGCACGAGGGGCCGTATGGGTTCTCTGACCCATCGTTA